TCAGTCATGTTCAACTTTCTAAGATGTTCGACTTTCCTTTTTTCAACTATACATTGAATTAATAATTGTTAAGCACTTCCTACATGCAAAACATTGGATTAGGTACAAAGCTGAAACAGGTGAACAAGACCCAGGTCCTGTCCTATGGGAATTTATCATTTAATAATTATCTAATACTCTTTCAAATGTTTATTCAACAAGCACTAAGCTACTAAGTGACAGAAAAAAAGGAGTGGTGTTGAAGACTGTGATTTACACACATGGGCCCTGGCCCCAGATTATTTATATTCCATTAATGAGACAGATTTGTAAACAAATATGTGCAGCAAAATAGGGAATGTGTATAATAAATTCATCACAGATTACAGGAAAGGAGGGAGAGGCAACTCCATCTGAATAATCAGGCAAAGTCTTCATAGTGAGAATGATGCTTGAACTATCAGTAAAGTCTTTCGAGTCAGATAACAAGAAAAGCAAAATGATTCCCACAGGAACCAAGGAGTGAGCATCATGGTTCCCTCAGGAAATGCAGGTGGACGGAATGGCTTAGTGTTCAGGACACAGCTTGGAGAGGACAGTAGGGAGAGAGAGGGTGGCACGACATGGAGAGAATGAAAGAGAACAGGCTTGAAAAGCCAGGTCAGTGTTTGGAAGATTCTCACAGACTTATTACAGAGGCAATAAAAGGATTTGTAACGAAGGTAAAAGTATGACAGCATTTACCCTTTTTTGCCCTAGCTGGTTTGGTTCAGTGGATGGAGCATCTGCCTGCAGACTGAAGGATCCCAGGTTCAATTCCAGTCAAGGGCACATGCCTGGGTTGTGGGCTCGATCCCCAGAAGGGGGTGTGCAGGAGGCAGCCGATCAATGATTCTCTCTCATCATTGATGTTTCTATCTCTCTCTCCCTCTCCCTTTCTCTCTGAAATCAATAAAAATTAAAAAGAGAGAGAGAGTATGCCAATATTTGCTTTTTTTGAACAGACAGACCACTGTATAGGATTCATGGCAGGGAGAAGGTTTGCCCAGAGCAAGTGTGAGGTTGAAAGGTTCAATAATCATGTGCGATGGTCTCTGCCGGAGTCAGACAGGCCAGTCAGAAGCAGAGTGGTCCACTACGTTAAAGAGACGATGGAGAAGTGAAAGTGGGAGATCAGGGATTGAGACTTAACTGGCAGAAAGTCTGTTTGGGTAGAGAAAATGGTGGAGAGGGCTTACTTATTCCCTGGTCGGGAAGCAAACTGGAATGTCAGGAGTGCCCATATGTGGTTTGAAAAATCTCTGATGCAATTCTGAGACGATGATAATCCTCGTTTAGAAATAGCTGGTTTAGACCATGACCCTAAAATGAACGTGACACAACCTCATAATCATTTCATTTTTTAAATTACAGCCTATTCTATGTGTGCTGGAAATGTTCACCAAACATCATTAGCAGCAGCCTGTGCTACACTACTTCACCCATTCATTGTCTTCACTGAAACGAAGTGGTTTTATAATTTTGGTTTTTTTCTCATCTTATTGTTAAACCACTATTGAGGTCAGTCTCTTGAAAGACCTGATGTAATCAGGCAGGGGAACATTTTAGGTTAAATATAATCAACTGAGCACGGAGGTACTTTCGCTGTGTTTCAAGCACTTGAGAAATTATGTCGGCAATCCAACAAATTAGCATAACCAGACCAATGTAACAAATGAGGTGTGATGGATAGTGACTTGACTTAAATAAACATGCTCATATGTCACTTGTGCACATGAAAACAAGTTCTGGCTCCCCCTCCCCCCTTTTTCTACAGAAAGCAGTTTCCTCTTCCATCGTCCCTTTCTCCACAGTTGTTTTTTGTTGTTGTTTGTTTTGTGTGTGTGTTTTTTTTAGTTGAATTTCAGCTTTTCTAAAATTTAACACCGTGTGGCTCCAAGTTAAAATTGGTGAAACAAATACAGAGGGAAAGCACATTAGCAAATAAATACCTTTTACTTCTTAAAGAGTCCAGGCCACCAAACAGCTCTTCTTATCCTAGATTATGCCCAAATGAAAGCATAATGTCCTGTTGCCCTTTATGAGTTCAGCCCACCAAGTAATTTATTACAACCATCTTTCCCAAAGACAAAAATCTTCATTCGGTTACAGATATGTTCATTTATTTCCCTACTTAGAAATGTTAGTTATGATATCATACATATAAATTCTATTACTTCTCTCTCTTTTTGCATAGTATTCATCCAAAATTAAATAAACAAATTTTCAGTAATAAGAAAATTCTAAGTGTCCAGACCTAAAACTGTCTTTGCTGTGCTTGACGACAAAGTGAATTTGAAATTATTTGTTTCTCATTTCTTCAAATAAAAATGTATATAGCCTGGCAGTGTTCTCAGTGGTTAGCGCATTGGCCCCAGCACCAAAGGGGGTCGTAGGTTCAATTTCTGGTCAAGGGTTGCAGGTTGGATCCCCTGCCCAGGTCAAGGTGAGTGGGGATACAACCAACTGATATGGGGTTGCAGGTTGGATCCCCTGCCCAGGTCAAGGCAAGTGTGGATACAACCAACTGATATGTCTCTCTCATCTCTCTCTCTCTCTCTCTCTCTCTCTCTCTCTCTCTCTCCTTCCCTCCCTCCCTCCTCCTTTTCACTTTCTAAAAATCTGAAACAAAACTTTGTATAAAGTAGTTTAATAAATCTTAGTTTATAAACGAAGATCAAAAATTACGTTTTACTAAATTGAACTAGAAAGTGAGTCATTTTAATGCTCTGTGTATGTAAACTAATATTTTTAAGGTTATAGACATACACAGATTCATGGATGTCTAGATTCTTTCTACCAATCTGTCCATTAGGCAGCAAACATTTATCGAAAACTTCTATGTGCAAAGCACACAATTTTTGTGAAAATCAATGATAAAGCAAATATGCACTCTTAGTGTTGGTAGGAGAAACAGACATGCAGAAACCAAAATAATTATAAGCAGAATAAAATAAAAGGATAAGAATTGTGGTGTAGGAACTCAAAAAAAGGAACAATCCATTCCACTTCAAGAAAGCATCAACAATAGTAGAAAGTGAGAGTTCACACAAGACACTTGGAGATTAGCAAAGTACTCCACGTCTGAGAGGAGCCTGGAGGAGGCTGCGTGGGCGGGAGAGGAAAGACCCTGAACATCATATTGCTGAACACCTTGGTAAGGAGAAACATTGAAAGTTTCTGCAAAAGGAAAAATTACACAATTCAGCCTTTGTTTAGGAAAATATCTATACAATATGTGAAAAACAGACCAAAGAAGTGAATTCTGGAGTCATGGAAAATATCCTAATAGTCCAGGGGAGTAACAACT